CAATATTCACCACGTTTGATATGTTTTTCAACACATTCTAATATGTTCATAAGATTATTTGAATCTTTAATGGGTATATATTCCACCAAATAATTCACGATCGCTTTTAATGATAATTCCCGGTTTAACAATTCCTTAATAATATTCTGAATAATATATCTTTTTGCTGAAAGCGTCATTTCTTCTGTTATACTATTATCGTGAAATATTTCGTAAATTGTTAAGATTTGATTAACAGTTAATTTTTGTATTGATGTTACATATATCGTTCTGCAAAAAAAATTATAGCCAAGATGTAACGCATCTTGCATTATATTTAGCATTGCTGAAAAGCCTCCTGAACGAATTGTATTAAGGAGATCCTGCAACTAGAAATATAATTTTATATCAAGTTAGTATACAAGTGATTATGCAAACACACACGCAAATGCAAAAGTTAAGCCAGCGGCACACGATATTTGTTTTTCTGCTGGATCGCTAGCTGGATTAAAATCTTGCCACTGTATTGGCTGTGGCAAGCACTGTGCTGATAGTGCCAGTATCACAGCCAATTCGATGGCAAGAATTTGATCCAGCTAGCAATCCAACAGGAAAACAAACATCGTGTGTCGCTGACTGTAAAGAAGCAAAATAATGAAAGGTTACCTGATGCTTGAATCTACACTGTTGTAGCTTGTAACAGATACCTTTCCTCAATAACGAAAAACAGTATCCATTGAGAAAGCTGTTAAGATTATTTTTTGTTGACCAATGACATTTTGATACTTGCATGTTTTTAGTTTGAAGTGCTGTTACTTTTGATATAGTTTTAGTTTTAGGTATGCAATTTGTATGTGTAATCTGTTCGGATTTATTACTGATTTCATTTTTATCAGTTTTATCGTTTTTATCAGTTTTATCATTTTTATTAGTTTTATTCGACGTTTCTGTATTATTTTCTACACATTTAGCATATTCCTTATTAAATTCTGTTGCATTTTGTTTCATATATTTATTAAAACTATTATCAGTCATTACATATGGTACATCAGAATGTAGAGATTTGTTTAATTTATCTTGTTCATGTAAAACTGTATTTTCACAGCTATAAAAACAATTAAACTTTTAATTATTGGAAACATTATGATTTTTAGAATACATAATTTCTTATATTGAAAATTATAAAATATATCTATTTAAAAAACTATAAATATTTTAAGTTAAAAAATTTTTTAATGTTATAAAATTTAATTTTATCATATTTTTCTCTAAATTATACTTACAAATTTGTATCAAATGATTCTGCAAACAGAGAAATGCAATCATCATCGTCCTCATTTGTGCTATTCGTATGTTCCTCCAGTATATTGGCATGTTCATGAATATTTTTATCTATTTGATTTAAATGTTGCATTTTTTCTGATGTACTTTGTGACATGCTATGCGTACAATTGTTGTAAACAGAATCTGTTTGAATATCTTTCTCTTTATATAACGTTTTATTAAAAGTAGATTCTATTTCGAAAGAAAGCTTTTTGCAAAATCTTTTATTTTTTATTGTATTTATTGGAGTAATTATATTTTTATTATTTAATTTTATTTGCTCAGACTTTATACTAGTTTCATTATTAAACTCATTTTCGCATGTTGATATTTTGGGAGATTTTGATCTTTTTTTATTTAAATGTTCACGTGAGTCTATTTTTCGTATGAGAAATTTTTTGAATATATTTGATTCTGTTGATGTATTTGGAAAATCAAATTCTCGAGGATTTAATAATTTAGTATGTGTTACATTATCTTGCAGCCACCTAGTTCTATTTAATTTCTTTTTTTTGTTATCCAACTGTATAATATTTTCCTCTGCTGCAATACGCTTTCGATTCTGTTCTATAGCGTCCTTTTTATTAACCAATATTAATGATCTGGTATTACAACTTTCTCTTACATCTACAAGATTTGAAGTGGTCTTATTTAAAATGTTTTCATCAGAACTTATTTTCTTATATTTTTTATCATTTTGTAAAATATTATTCTTATGCCTTTTGTCATTATTTAATCCATTTAATTTTTGACGTTTCAAAATTCCATTTTCATATATTTCTGTTGAATCTACGTTTTTAACTTTTGCGCTATCATCTATACTTTTATTTTTTAAATTATTATTGTTAAATACAGATGTAGATTCTGATACTTTTGATATATCAATTGATTGATCTATTTCAGGCATATGATAGGTATCTTCAATGTAAGAAACTTGCTTTGCACTGTTATTAGTATCATTAGAAACATTATTTTGTAAGTTTTCGTCACTCGTGTTTACTTTTACAAATGTTATCATACCTTTTGGTAAAATATGATTTTCAGTTATTTTTGGTAAGTTTTTTGTGATTATTCTTTTATTATTTGTCTTATTGGCACGTTGTTTTTTATTATGTGTTATAGGAAAATCGGATATTTCAGTAACATCAGATATTTTAGTAACAGGTATTGTATTATTTATCTTATTGGCATGTTGTTTTTTATTATGTGTTGTAGGAAAATTGGATATTTCAGTAACATCAGATATTTTAATAATAGGTATTGTATTTAAAGAGAATGATTTTGAAACACTTGTTTGTATATTATCAATACCTAAAGTTGTAATTTTATTATTTGATCTCTTTGCATCTTTCTGATCTTGTGCTCCATTTATTGTATTATGTAAAGTAAAAAGATTATTAGAATTTACGTTCTTAGATTTAAAGTTTGTCTTATCCTTAGACATTCCTGGTATTTCATTTTCTATATCTGTGTTAATTATTTTTGAGAATACAGCTAAAAAGGTCAAATATTGCTTAAAGGCATTATAGATTAAATTTTTGAATATCTACTCTTTTTATAATATTACTGAATATATAATTAATAATATACGTACCTTTACTGTTTTGATTCATATCACATTGTTCTAATCTTACATTGCAAACTTTTCCATTAATAACGCTATTAATTGTATTTAAGTTGATATTAATGTATTTCTTGATGGATTCACTGGATGTCTCTTGCATCTTGCTGTTACAATCAATAACGTTTAAATTTTCTTCATCAAAATAATTTTCATCAAAAGAATTGCTTTTTATTAATTCAATACTTGTATCTGTTTAGATAAAAAACAGTTAAAACAACATTTTATACATAATAAATAATAATACAGAATACAATATTAATGCGTATGTGTGTATGTATGTGTATGTTACCTGATTTATCAAATTGTAGTTTTCTTTTACATCCTATTCTACTGTTCTTCCGAACATTTGGTCTTTTATTACTACAATGCATTTTATTATTTAGTGACGTAATCTTCTTTTGTGTATAACTACAATGTATATGAGAAGAGTTGCTAAATATTTCATCAGTACTTGTATTTGAAAATGATTTAACACTAATATCATCTTTTAATTGCTGCTTTTGTGGTATAGATTCTTCTGGTTGAATTGTTTTATAATTGCATGATACATCATCTAAAAATTCAACATTTTTACGTTCTTCATTTAGCTTTTTATTTAATTCTTTCATACGACTTCTTGTTAATCGACAAGTATTATCCTCTGTATTATCTTGTAGCACGTTTTCCTTTAACATGCATACATTATTAGATGTATTATGATTTGTAGTATGATTAATACATGGTGACGAATGTTCTAATTCCACAGTTTTCTTTTCAGAGAAATGCAATTGGTAAAGTTGAACTAAATCTTTATCTAAAGCAATATTATCCAATACAACTTTACACATACGAAGATTGTTCGATGTTTTTAACTTATTATTTTTTGCTTGTGTGTTTCTCACGCTTTTTGCTTTTGCCATTCTGTTTGATTAATTGATTATACATACGTTAGTTGCTAAAGTTTTACAAAAACCAGTTTTCAAATTTCTTCTGTTGAAAGTAATGAAGTCCTTTATGCATCTAACTTGACAGTGAATATTCTCATCATTCTAGGTTCTCAAAAAGCGTCGTTACATATTTTTCTTCAATTATAGCCAAGCAGCATGAAAGTATTGCAAAATCAACCTGATATAGAAATGTATCGTTAAGTTCATACTAGATAAAGAGACACAATAATATTATACATGGATATCGTCTAAAAAACAATAATTTAATAGGAAAAGAATATTACAAAAAGCAAGCAGCTATTAGTCTGTGTCTTTTATTCTCTCTATTACATGCTTTCTTTCGGTAAGATGGGGTCTTTTAACTGAATAATTTTTCGTACAGATTACGTATTACTCTTAAATCTGTTACCTGCATCCAAAAACGTACGCATATGCCCATCACATCCATTTCTTAGTCATCTCCTGAAAGTTAATAAAAAGGAATAATTTACACAATTTGTTGCAGACTGATTAGTGATTCTCCTCCTCCAGTTCGCGGAAACATTCAAGTATTCATTTCGAGAATCGCAAGCGTTTGTATCGATATTTAGCGACATCAGCGCTTTCAATTTACCTCTACTGCATAGAACGACGACAAATAGAATGAATTAGAGTCGTTGAACCAGCTTTTTACCATATGAGAAAGTTCATATGGTAAAGTTCACATCAACTGCATATCTATTATAATAATCGAATAATTAGATAATTACATATGTAATCAATAGATCAATTTCACCCTGTATAACACACATCTAGTAGTATGAAAAAGAATTACAAAAATGTGGACATTATCCTATGAGGTTTGGTTCATGAAAAAAGCCAGGATGCTCCCAAAATTTTTCTCTACTATTATAAAGGTATGGACGAAGTTCATATGATGGACTATTAAAATTTAATAGCAAATTCGATTGAATACGTTCAATGCGTACTGATGCACATTATTAATAAGAGAATGCTGAAGTCGCCTGTATTATCGGTAAAGCAAGCGTTTTAGATGTTTGTGCTGTCCAATTTCTTTGCTTGAGTATCTTTTATCCTTGTTACTCATTGAATGTTGAACAAGGATAAAAGAACTTGAAGTTGACTTTTAGAACGCATCCTTAGTTACACTTTACGCGCGTGTATCGTGTGACGTTGTGAGTGTTGTGACTTTGTAAGCGTGGATCTCTGTTTTGCTGCTTGCTTGTAATTATGAAATATATACTTTAATTGACTTAGGAATCGTATTTCTTTTGTTAAGCATGGATTACAAGGATGAGCAAGTTAATGAGATTGAGGCTTTGGAGTCGATTTATTGCGGAGAATTGGAGAGTACGTATTATTAAAATTTTAACCTGTAATTCAGTTCCAAGAGGTAACCCTATACGGTCAATAATACTGACAGTATGATATTTTTGATATTTTTACAAGCTTACGTATTCAGTATTGACAATATAAGTACTTCGATTTAGTTTTACATATATTATCTATTACACTGTGACATGCTGTGTGAATATAGGTCCTAATAAAGCAATGATACTTGAGAAACAAAATCCAGATCAATATTTTATGTCAATCCAATATTAACCATACATACAGTTAGTAATATTCTCAGTATTTGTTAATATTGATAACTGATAATATTTATTATTGATCATGTAGAGTCTCCTTAAGACAGATGAGATTTATGAACTAATGGTAATACATTCTTTCTGAATTTTATTATGAATTACTATTTGCCACAAGTAATACAAGTGTGTATATGTCATACAGTTTTAGAAACAGAACCATTCTATACATTTGCTATACCAATTAAAACAGAGGAATATGAACCAGAAACTGGTAACGGTCTCGGTTGTCGATTAGAATTTACATATACATCCAAATATCCAGATGAGCCACTGCTCATATCAATTACAGAGCAAGAAAATTTTGAGGATGGCGACGAGAAGTTGAAGGCACATCTGATAGAACAGATGAATGAAAGTCTTGGAATGGTAATGGTTTTTACATTGGTTAGCACAGCTCAAGAATGGCTTAATGTACAATGGGACAAAATAAAGCTCAGGAGAGAAGAGACTGCGGCACAAAAATTGAAAGAGGAAGAAGAGGCAGAAAGGGTAAAATGTTCTAAATGAATCTATATAGATGTCAATTTTAATACTTTTTTTCATGTATAGAGACGGTTTGAAGGAACTCGTGTAACAGTGGAATCATTCCTAAAGTGGAAAGAAATGTTTGATGAAGAAATGGGTTATACAAAACGGAAAGAATTGGCAGATCGTGAAGGCAAAAAATTAACAGGCAGAGAATTATTTATGACTGATAAAACACTGGATCAATCGGATCTTAAATTCTTAGATGATGGTAATTTATGTTTTTTTTTTAATTATTTGACTTTTAATTAGTATTTCCAAAAGATACTGATATTGCATGTTGTGCAATTTTGATCAAATAGGTGATGCTGTCAAAGTAGATGAGAGTTTGTTCCAAAATCTGGATGACTTAGATTTAGATGATGACGACGATGATGATGATGACCCAGACTATGATCCAAATATCTCGGATGATAGCGCCTAAACCAGTTTAATTCAGTAGCTAGCAAAATAATGCATAGAACAAATTGAACAGGAATTTATTAAAAAAGAAAAAATTTGTATGTGTATGTGTGTGTGTATGTACATATATACACACATACATATCCTGAAAAATATTTTAGAATTTCTCATTTGCAAGTTCTTGATACTTAGTAAAAAATGACAGTGCTAAATTCTCATGGTTGAAATAGAAAATATATCTTTTCAATCACAATATGCTCTTTATTGAAAGGTTATTCACAAAGCGCAATATTTAAGGAATTAAATAATTTTTATACTTATGTATACATAAATTATGTCATATGTTTTGATTATATTAAAGAAATATATATCTTGTATTAATTCTGTATTTTTTTGTATTTATTATACAGTGTACATTTATACACAGCTACAATCCACTTAAAGCTACAAATGCTTCAAAGCATTTTTTATTAATTAATAAGCAAAATTCTTTCTTCTAATTGATCAATCAAACATTTTGAAACATTTGTAAAGTCAAGTGAACCGCATCCATAAACGCATTGATTAAGCGATGTTAATATTAAGCTCTGAACACAATACGAAGCAATGATAAAAATAGACACAGAATAGTATAGATAGATCTTGGGGTGCGTTCCGAATTGCGCACAAAGCGTATGATGCATCATTTGTCTTCGTTCACCGAAGAATAAAGAATAAAATGATACTTTATGCACTTTATGCGTAAAGGTAAAATTTTATTTATTAACATAAATATACCAATAAATATATATCAATAATACATTTATTAAATTCGCGATTTTTTATTATATATAATAAATAAAAACAGTCACGCGAATTTTCATAAGAGCCGAAAGTTTTTAATAGTATCTCATCAGTGATTTAACTCAGCACTCTGAGAGAAGCGAGGGGACTCACTTTAAACAAGAGTTGTATATACTTATTACACATAAAAAAAAACATCAAGTTAAGGAGATAATATGGCGGTACTTAAATTAAAGTGCTATATTTTTTATTTGTTAATTTTATGTAAATGTGGCAATGGAAACAATGTTCAGAATCACAAGAAGTACAACATATTTCAAAACGAACCAATTTGAGCGAACTTATTTTTCCATATGAAACGTGCGGTGTCCTTTATGTGTATGTTGCGTGAGATATTTAATGTGTTTGAGGAGACGTTATTAGCGTCTATTTTTGTCTCATTCTATCTTCGTTGTTTATTAAACGTAAAACAATTGGATAGAATTACACAAATAACGTTCCCCCCGAACGCACTTATAGATGCACTATAGTATATAGTGATGTTCGATATGTGTGTATATTTACAATATACCTAATCATCTTTAGAATTCCCTTAATTTGTAATTATTTACGAAAACACTAAAAACTTGAGTATGTTTTTTTTCTAAATATTTAACAATAAAATTAAATCTTTCGCTGATATCAAAGGAAACAATTCTAATTTTTGGACAATCTTTTTTTTTTATTTAAACACATTTATTTAAAGTTTAAAAAATATTAAAATAATGATATAAAATATTAATCTGTATATAAATATAAAATATTGTAAAATAAACATTTTCGAGCTTAAAGCGTATACTTGATCATTATTGGAGTTTTGGAAATTGACTCGTCTTGGGTTGTTTTACGGTCATGATGAGTTTGAAAAGAATCTTCAGGAGAGGAAACAAAGGAAGGATTTTGGATATTTTCATGTCTTGTAACTATCGTCCGTAAAAGAGAAGTCAGGAAATCTAAACATATTATATTATTAAACATTTTAAAATTGATTAAATTTTTAACAAAATTTATAACAGAAAAATATCTAAAATTTAAGTTTTATTTTGATAAAGAGAATTATTAATGTTATTATTTTGCCATACATACATTTTTCTAATATTAAATTGTGTAAAATAATACAACATATTTTTGCAAAATAAAACTATGCAGCATAAACTTTCTTATAACGTTTTTCACTAGCAGAGCTAGTGCGCACTCAGTGTACTTTAATGCCTTTGTACACAAATCGACATAGAAATATATGTTTAATAAAAATAAAAAAATTAAAACCATAAAATCTTCAATATATTTTATTGTGTTATTTGACAAAATAACACAATAACAAAATGCTTATTGTTATTTGACAAAATAACACAATAAGCATTTTATCAATTGAGATATCTCATTTTAATATCAGACTAGCTTTACCAGTGAAAAACGCTATTAATTACTTTCAGTTGTCATTCCAGTAAAATTACTATCTTTAGTATTAATACATAGATGAAGGAGAACATTAGAATATTACATTGTCAACTTTTTGTATACATATATACATACACACACACACATACATATACATATATTTATAATGTGTATATATATATATATATATATTATAATACATTGTCAATCGATGCATACTGCATGTACTTTGTTAGCAATTCATATAAATTGTACCGATGAAAGTACTATGACGTTAAAGTTTTCAGATGAAATAATTTTTCTTAAGATTAAAATTGTTCACAAATTTTGCTGTTTGTATATGACTTAAATAACATTAAATATAATGTTGAAGAGAGACATCGCGCGCGCAGTATTTTTATCGTTAAAAATAACAATAATAGCCTCCGACTATTCCAGTCGATGAAATCCATTACAGATGTTTTAAATTGTGACGAATTTCTATTGTGTCTCTGAAAAAAATTAATTAAGTTTCAGCAGTTTCCGCTGATTATGGAAATAAGCAAATCAAAAAGGGACAACACTGTAATGAGAAACATCAGCAATTAACATGACACTATTTTGAGAAAATAAAATTATTAAGAAAAAAAATAATCATAAATTCGAATAATATTAATTTTATCATTTTTCTTGCAAATATTTAAAAAATATCAATCCAATATTTTTTTTAATAATTTTACAGCTTGTGAAAATGAAATTTCACTTGATTGAATAATGTGACGTTACATGGAAGAATTAACTTATAATCATGAATTTTATTACTTACTTTTCCGGTAAAATACGTGGTTTGGCATAATCACCAGGCCATTCATACAGATTTGGCAGTGGACTGTCATAGTTGGCATCATACATCTTACTTATGATGAATTCTCGCTTATCTTTCGGCTCTGGATATTCACTTGCTAAACCACCTGTAGATATAACAATAGATAATACTAAATAGTATTTTACACACAAGTCCGTAATTAAAACAACACCAACCTTTAGCATAAGCATAATCAGCTATTTTAACTGCGATATCAATAGAACACTCGCGAATATTATTTAATGGCGGATATAAACTACCCCTTTCAAGATCATCAGTTTTTACATGATCAGCGACAGTTTGTGCCGAAATCAAGAATAAATCTTCGGTAATATGATGTACTCCGGTCGCAATAACGCCTAAAGCGATACCAGGAAAGATGTATGCATTATTACCCTGTCCAGGTTTATATATTTTTCCATTGTATTTTACTTCACCAAAGGGCGAACCCGAAGAGAATACACATCTACCCTAAAACATAGACGTTTAATCTGAACAAATGAATTTAGTATGCTAAAAAGCAAAATTATCATTGTGTTATTTAAGATTGTATTATATTCATACATCGGTATGATCATACGCTTGTTGCGCCGTACATTCAGCTTTACTGGTTGGATTACTTAAGGCGAAGATCAATGGCCTCTCATTATTTTTTGCCATTTCTCTTAAAACTTCGGGAGTAAATGCCCCTGCCGCTGCCGAAGCGCCTATGCGAATATTTCAGTTCTGTACCAAGATCGTTTTTCTTTGAAGAAATCTGCTTACCTATCAAGACAGAAGGTTTGATATCTTTCACAACTTCGATTAATGTCTTCATCACTTTGTAGTCCTTCGCGTACCAGATCTTATGGCCTTCCAAATTACCCTCAGGCCGATTCTTTACGAGTAACCCATCAATATCCATCATCCAAATATTATCGCGCGCCTGTTGTTGAGTGCAACCGTCAGCCTCCATTGCTTTGACACAAAGATCAGCAATTCCAATAGCTGCCTGCAGTAGAGTGAAATAAATATTGTTACAATGCGATCTCAAAACAAACATAAATATTTAGTATCTTTAAAGTTTAAAATAAGGCTATTGTAATATCTTGAAAATTTACAAACCTCTCCAGCACCAAGGAAGACAAATTTATTATCTGCCATTCTTTTCTTAGTTATTCTTTGCGATGCTAAAATTCCAGCAACAGCAACTGCAGCTGTACCTTGTATATCATCGTTAAACGTACAATATTTATTTCTATATTTGTCTAAGAAACGGAAGGCATTGTGGTTTCCAAAGTCTTCGAACTAAAATACAGAAAGCATGCAATATTACGTGTACGTATCATAAAAGGTCATTTAACAAAATTTGGATTAAAGACTTGGATTAATGTTATATATTTTTAAAAATGTGTATACACGTATATGTTAGCTTACTTGAATAAGAACGTTTTGTCCATACTTTTGCACGCAAGCAGCCATAAATTCGTCGATTAATTCATCATACTCGGCGCCTTGGCTTCTAGGCTTATTAAGACCAATGTAATGAGGATCGTTTCTTAGCTGTTCGTTATTAGTGCCTACATCAATAGCAATCGGGAGACATTGATGCGGTTTGATACCAGCTAGAGCTGTATAAAGTGCCAGTTTTCCAACGGGGATACCCATGCCACAAGCTCCGAGATCACCGAGACCTAAAATTCGCTCGCCATCCGTCACGCAGATGGCTCGCACCGCTTGTTCTGGCCTAAAAATACGATGGAAATTGTCGTGATTAAAAATAATTAATAAAAAAATTAATTAATACGCCATATTACATGTACAGCAATCGATTTCTTTCTTGCTACGCATTATACAACGCAGCAAAACATGCAATGCATAGAATTCTATTTTTAGCAAATATACTCCAAATGTGTTTTCCGTTTAAACTCCACAGAGTGATACAAGATTTAGCCTCGATCGTATTTAGCCTTTTTTATTTGATTTATTTATATAGTGGTACAGTTTAACTAATTATTACTTTTTAATTAATCGTGTGACT